AATCTTCAACCATCAATTATCAACTATCCGCTGGAAATTAAAACTCTCATTAACTAATATTTTTCGACTAAATGAAGCAACATAACATACCCTCCCTCTGCTATATATAATCCCAGTTTGAAGTTAACTAATAAAGGCTATATTGTGTAGTTAAGTATGTGAAATGATAAATCTAACTAATCAGTTCTCACTGCCTTACTGATACATCATCATGCTATTTATTAGACTCCCATGTCACATTATTGTGTCTTTTTCTCTTTCATCTTAGTAACATAACCGGAATGAATGAATGAATGAATGAACAAAAATAATACTACTCCGTAAAGATCAAACCTCCAAGCCCTTGGCTTGAGCTCTACATCCAAGCAAGCAAACTACTAATTTATCAGTTTAAATTACCAAATGATTTTAACTGAGTTAATAATCATTTGGATCAGTTCCAATCAACCTTCTCAGTTTTAACACATCACAAGCTGTAGCCACTAATAAATTTTCAGCACTACGGACCCATAAAACAGATCTTTTGTCATTGTACATCTGAATTAGCACATAATAAAACTACACATACAGCGAACCACAATTCGAATAATCACAGTTCACAGCACAGTACAAGATGAACGTTTGTAAAGCAGTCATTCGATTCGATGTCAGTAATTTTTGGACGAGGAATATCATCTTTGATTCTGTTTATCAGTCCTATCCTCCTCCTTGACGGTATCAGAACTACCCCTGAATAGGAAGAAAGACGTGAGATAATAAATTATTAACTCACACTCAACAAAAGCTTTCTTATGCAAAGAACCATTCCATGCCAGTCTTCTTTTTATATATAAAATTTCAATCCAAAACTTCATAAGTGATCTAAATGAAATGTTCAACCAGCATCACAAAGCATACGGTATAGTCAAAACAAGAAATATATGTAATTGACACCGATCTCAAAGGCACTTGATCTCATCAAATCACAACAATTTGCAGATTTAATAAAGGAAACCTGTCGTTCTCTTTTCTTTTTTTCGAATGGTAAGAAATCCATTTAGATGGTCAAACAAGGAAACTTTTCCAACAAAATATAAAGGATTAATCACTGAAGAAGGACTTTTAGATAACATGTAAGCTGAGAAAATTCTAGGCAAGGCAACTCTTGCCTATACAGAAACTGTAATGTCAACTCCAGAAAGAAAAAAAA